AAAAAAAAAAAAAAGGAGGAGGAGGAGGAGGAGGAGGAGGGGGAGAGGACGTGGCGGCAGAGAAGGAGAGGAGGGGGAGAACGACGAAGGAGAGTGGAGTGGACGAGGAGGAGGAGGAGGAGGAGGAGGATTAGACGAAGACAGAAAGGACGATGGGGAGGAGGGGAGGAGGACGACGACGGGGAGGAGGGGAGGAGGACGACGACGGGGAGGAGGGGAGGAGGATGACGACGGGGAGGAGGGGAGGAGGACGACGATGAGGAGGAGGGGAGGACGAAGACGACGCGGAGGAGGGGAGGAGGACGACGATGGGGAGGAGGGGAGGACGACGACGACGGGGAGGAGGGGAGAACAAAGACGACGGGGAGGAGGGGAGGACGAGGACGACGGGGAGGAGGGGAGGAGGACGACGACGAGGAGGAGGGGAGGACGACGACGACGGGGAGGAGGGGAGGAAGACGACGACAACGGCGGGAACATAGGGCTTTGTTGACGAGGAGGAGGAGGAGGAGGAAGGAGCACGTGTGTGTGTGTGTGTATGTAGGAGGAGGAGGACGACGACCACGAGGAAGAGTGTGTGTGTGTTGTGTTGTCATATTCGCTATCGCTCGAAAAAAGCATGACTGAGCCAGACTGTTTCGTCGTACTTTCACAGAGAGTGTGTTTGCGTGTGTGTGTGTGTGTGTGTGTGTGTGTGTGTGTGTTGGCACATTTGCTATACACTCAAAAAAAGCACGACTGTGCCGGACTGTTTCGTCAGACTTTCAGCGACTCATCAGGAAGTGTGTGTGTGTTGGTGTGTGTGTGTGTGTGTGTGTGTGTGTGTGTGTGTGTGTGTGTGTGTGAGAGAGAGAGAGAGAGAGAGAGAGAGAGAGAGAGAGACATACCTTCTTCACGTGCCGCTCGCCCTGCTCCACGCGCCTCTCCGCACGCTGGTCGCTGCGCAGCTGCTCACGCCCCCGATGCTCGTCCACGTGCCGCGCGATTCTCCACACGTTCACCAGGCGATGGCAGGATGGCACAGCTGCAAGATTCGACGACGACGCTTCTCCACGCGGGTCTGGGTCGACGACTAGGCAGCTCCTTTGGAAAGCAGCGGGCGCGAAACCCCCCCCAGAACGGTTCAAAAAAAAAAAAACAAAGAAACAATGAAACCCGCCAGTGCACTTTCCGGCCGTTCCGGTTTGTGGCCGAGGGCGGCAAAAAATGGGGGGCGATTTTTTTTGGGCGGCCCAGGGCCTGAATAAAAGCCCTGGACCGCCCAAAAAAAATTTGCCCCTTGTGCTAGGGCCCTCTCATCCGGACCAAGATCCGGACCCGGACCCAGGACCCCGGACCACGGACGGTCCGGATCCCTGTCCGGTGGTCCGCATCGTAGCCATGCTTCACAAGCAAAACTGTTTCATTGGTGGATTGGCTCATCTTGAGAATGCTTCATTGTCTGCAATACAGGAAAGGTTGCTATGACTTTGGATCTACTCATCTGGGTGGAATAGGGGAAGTTGTGGTGATATTTTATAACACACACACACACACACACATATACACCCAACCCCCTGTTATCCAGTATGTGCCTCCGAGACACTACCTGTTACATGCTGCGCCTACAACAGGCTGCACGGGCCCCCTTTCAGGCCCGTGACATTTTCAGGCCAAAAGCCTGAAAACAAGGGCCTACAGGCTCCGTGTCGTTTCAGCCTGAAAGCCTGAAAACAAGGGCCTACAGGCCCTGTGTCGTTTCAGGCTAAATCAGGGCCTTTCCGGCCCTGAGTGTTTTCAGCCTGAAACTGAGGGCCAATTTCAGGCCCTCGTCAGTTCGACCCGCCCTGAAACTCAGGCAACAAAACAGGGTTTTAGCTCAGGCCATTTTTGGCCTGTTTTCAAG